GGAGGAGGGAGTCTGGCAGGAGCTCTTACTGCAACAGGGTCTCAGCTCTATAAAAACCCTGGTAGCACAGACCTTACACAAGCTGCCTCTGTGTGTGCAGAGGCTGGCCAGGAGTCTCCCAGCCCCACCTGTCAGATGACACCCCTCCCTCCTTGCCCTGCCCCCTCTATTCTCCTGAAATCTTGACCTACACCTTGGCCAGCCTTGACCATGCCTCCCAACCTCACCGGCTACTACTGCTTTGTCTCGCAGAAGAACTTGGAGAACTACCTGCAAGCTCTAAGTAACGGCCTCACCCCTCCTGAGCCCTTTCACTCTCGTTCTCCCCTCTCCCTTCCTGCCTCCAGTCCCATTGAGGAGGGGGGATGCGAGGGTCCGACATCGTGGAAAGGCTGGGGGTCAGGGGGCTGGGCTCCTTTTCTAGCCAGGGGCATTGCTAGGAAGGAGTAAATCCACAGTCCCAGACCCAGCCCAGGGGATGCTCCCAGCTCCAGGCTGCTGCTGCGGGTGGAGGAGGCCCTGGCCAGCTGGCTAAGAGGACCCTTGTCCTAAGAGGACAGCCCCCGTAGACATCAACATGGCTCTGCGGAAGATCGCGCTGCTGCTCAAGCCAGACAAGGAGACTGACCATCGGGGCAACCACGTGACAGTGAAGACCCTCAGCACCTTCCAAAACTAAGTTCTGGAATTCGAGGGGGGAGTGGAGTTTGAGGAGGACTTGAGGATCACGGAGGGACGGAAGTTCCAGGTACCTTTTCTCAGGCTGGCAGGGAGGGGGTGTGGATGGGCAGGGGGCCCTTAAAGAGTGGGGCAAAATGAAGTGACCTTTCCCATCCAGAGCCGGGAAGTGATGACCACAGCAGGCTATGAAGTCCCTAGGATCACAGGCTCCTGATGTCACCCACCCAGCCCCCACTCCCTCCAACTTCTCCCCTGCCCCCTCTTAGCACCAGCCAAAAGGGCAAAAGGGGCAGGTCACCCTCAGGCCAATGAGCAAACATGTGCTCACCCTGTAGCCTGTGACGCTGTGGACACCACAGTCTCTTTTCCCTCAGCCTCTTTAACTTCACTCTCGCGCAGTCCTTTCTGCTTCTGACGTGTTCCTTTTGGCCTTCCTGCAGCCCCCAGGCCAAAGCCCCGTCTTTCTCACACTCCATTGCGTAATAGCGACCTCATATCCTGTTCAAAATCTGGCCTCCTGCATGAGAGAAACAGGCAAAGGGGAAAGGAGCCCAGAGAATAGCGGATCCCCACTCTCTTTCATGCATCTGGCCTCTTATTTTCCACCTAAGGACTCAGCTTTGAGCATTTGAGCATTAGTGGAAACCATACTGGTGGACCTTTCGGAAAAGTGTGGCCGGATTCCAGAATTTAAACAGGAGCTACTGGGAGAGGTTTTTTGTCCATTTCCTTGTCCTTCCTCTTGAGAAACCTCATGGGCTCACGAGGCTCACGAGGCCCAAGGCATGGCCCCAGCCACACAGAGTCCAAGAGACCACATTGACCGGCATACAATGCGAAGCTCACTGTATGCTTGCATCCTACGTGTTGGGGGAGAGGGATGGGTCAGGGCGAGACGTCTGTCCAGTGCTGGGGGGCGCTGGAAGCTCTTACATAGTGACCTGGCCTCCATGTCTGCTTTGGGAAGGACAGGCGGTAAGAGCGCCAGAAAAGACTGAAAAGGGAAGCAGATGAAGGATACAAGGCTAAGGGCTAGAAAGATGAGGGACATGAGGGCATGAAGGTGACAGTAGGTGTGAAGGCAACAGGCCTCTAGGACCCTCTGCCTACAGTCCAGCCAGGCTGGGGACAGAAGGTAATGGGGGCAACTGAAGACAGCACAGCCCCTCCCTTAGGGTCCCAGAATCGCTGCTCTGAAAAACAGCCCAGATGGGTAGGGCCTGTTCAGATTCAGGGCCAGCTCCAGCCTCTGGTCACCTCCCTACCTCCAGGGGCCTTGGCTCTTTCAGAATAAAAGTCCTTCCTGTGGGGCAAGAGCAGAGAGAAGAGGGCTCAAGGTGGGGTGGGGACAGAGCCTGGCTGGCAGGGAGGAGGGGAATGCTGGAAAATCCCTGGCCTGTGCTCACTAGATGAACCCCGGTGCTGCCTCTTCCTGCAATGGCCAGGCCCCTGCACATCCGAGATGGTCTCTGGGGCTCCGGCCAAGAACCAGGATTGCAGCACTCATCCCACCACAAGCCTGGAATGAATTTGGAAAAGAATTTGGGCAAGAATGCAGAATGGGGCTTCCCTGGTGGCGCAGTGGTTAAGAATCCGCCTGCCAATGCAGGGGACACGGGTTCGAGCCCTGGTCTGGGAGGATCCCACATGCAGCAGAGCAACTAAGCCCGTGCGCCACAACTACTGAGACTGCACTCTAGAGCCCGAGAGCCACAACTACTGAGCTTGTGAGCCACAACTACTGAAGCTCGTGCACCTAGAGCCCGTGCTCTGCAACAAGAGAAGCCAATGCAATGAAAAGCCTGCACACCGCAACTAGAGAAAACCCGCTTGCAGCAACGAAGACCCAACACAGCCAAAAATAAATAAATTTTTTTTTTTTTAAAGAAAAAGAAAGAATGCAGAGTGGACCTGAGCAACTTCATCCCTGCCCAACCTCTCTGCAGGGTACCCAGCAACGTGGGGAGGGCAGAGCAGCAGAAGCTCAGAGGAAGTGGGGGAATCCTACCTTTTCCATTCCCAGGTGCGGTGAAGGCACAGGAAGATGCTCTGTGTGTATCCACCAGGTCCCAGCCACTCCGAGTTCACAGTGCATACCCAGGCCTCTCCCCATAGGACTGCTGTCTGTGCTCTGCATGTCGGCCCCTCGCTGGGATCTTGCCGGGAGCACATAGGCCTCCATGGTGACTGTTGGACCCAAGCGGAAGCAGCCTCAGTCCCCCAAGACTCCTGTGACATGAACACCCACACCCTCCCACCTGCGGGTCCACATCCTCCACTGGACCACTCCCCTCCAGGAGCCAAAATCCAACAAGAGGCCTGGAGACCCCAAAGGAACACAAGCAACCAGAGGAGGGCTGAGCTGCTTCTGGGCATCTCCAAGCAGGTGGGAGCGGGATCCACCCAGATGCAGGAAGCCAGGGCTGCCATTTCCCCCGTGGGCAGCAGGGGGCAGTGCTCGCTGCAGTGGGAGCCAGAGACCCACCAAGTTCAGTCCTCGCTCCTCCAACACCCTGTTGGATATTTCGTCCCTGCCCCCACTAGACAGACAGACAGACAGACACACACACACACACACACACACACACACACACACACACACCAACCCCAGCCCACATGCTCACCCTGCGAAGACCCTACCCCTCATTCAAATCAAGCTGCACCACTCACTGTTAGATGGAAGAGATGGTCACCAAGGGCACCGACGTGTGGGTGATGAAAGGGCGGGGGGTAGGGGGGAGCTACGGCCACGGATGGGTGGTCCCACCCCAGCCCTTCTAGGGACACACAAAGCTGTGCCTCCCAGGACCGTCTTTGACCTCATTGACCAGAGTCTGAGACCCCAGCGAGATGATCAAGAATCAAATATGTTTATTTCCACGTGAGATAGAGTGACTGCACCCTTCTAACGCAGCTTCACGCCAGGTCCCTGCCCCCTCCCCGTCCACCAGGCCCAGATAGCACCAAATGGTCACAAACAACCTTCCAGCCTGAACTTCAAATGATCCTTTAGCCTTGATTCTTTAGGTCGGTCCAGAGCCCTCTGCTCAGAAGAAACTGACCAACACGGACCAGAGGTCAGGATCGGTGTGTGCCCTGAAGCAGAGGACCCTATGCTGCCCGAGGACTCAGGCCCCACGTCCTGGTAGGGGCCCCAGAGGAGGCAGGAGTGACAAAGTCTAGCTGCGTATCCCCTTGCAACTGCCCCCTCACCTCAGCCGCTGTCTCCCGCATGCCCCCACCCCACATGCCCAGACCTGCAGGACGAAAAGGGAGCAGGAAATTCCTCACCTGCAGAACACAAAGGCATCCCAGGCAGGAGCTGATCCTGTAACACAGTGGGACCCCTACTGCAGCAGGGGACCCTTAGAGGCCACTGAAAATCCTAGGACGCCAAGAGAGAGCAGAGTCCTGGCCCCCTCCCCACACCCAAATCTTATCCCCTAAGGAGCAAGAACCACATCTAGGCTATAGGCTTAATTACCCAACAATCAGTGCGAGGCCTGCAGCCCCCGAAGTGGCTGAGGATCCCCTAACTGTGTCTGCCCCTCCCTTCCCGCCTCTCCCTGCCCTTCCTCAGGCTTTTCTCCCCCTCTGGAGGCCGATGCTTCTGCCTGGCCTGGGGACCACCTCCAGCACCCCCAGCCAGCTCTCTGGGATGTCTCCCCCAACCTCCCCCACCATAACACCCTCAATCATAACAGCACCTGTGCCATCAGGGTCCCCAGAGACTGACCTGGAGCTGTCCCAGAGCTGCGACCATGATCGTGGACAGGCCAGGATCAGGGAGACCTTGCAGGTCCAGCAGGAGGTGAAAGGTAGTGGGTGAGGAGATTGATGGGAAAATCAAAGGGTTATGTGAAGGGCTGTGACATAGCCAACCTGGGTTTGCAAGGAGGGCAGAAAGAAAGAAAGAAAGATGGTACCCCAGACCTCTGAGGCCAGGGGTGTGAGCTGTGGCCTGACCTGACCAGGGGCCAGACCAGCACCCATCAGGCTGTCCTCATCCTCCCTGAGATCTCAGCCAACAGAATGGCTCTGGGTCAGCTCTGCAGGCACCTGGGCTCCATGCTGAACACCCACCCTCACCAGAGGCCATTTAGGTTCCAGGGGCCTGAGATGGAGCTGACCTGTCACACTCACCCTTCCAGCAGCAACAGGGGGCCTCTATCTTCTCGAGCACTTGCCAGCCTACCGTCTGTCTGTGGGTGAGCTTCCTGCCTCCCCTGACCCAATCAGGCCCGAGTCTCACTGTCCTCTGCCCTCACTCTTGTTCTGGCCACCAGGAGAGGGTGCAACCCTTAGGAGCCTCTGCTCTGTCCCCCGTGGGCAGTGCCCAAGCAGAGGGTTGCCGGCATAGCTAGGCCACTGTGTTCACGCATAAACCACTTGCCTCAGAGGCTCTAGATGAGCCTGAAATGGCATCCAAAATTGGGAGGGAATAATACACGGTGGGCAGGTGAGCAGGCTCCGTGTCAAACAGCTACCTCTCATTCACTGTGTGAACATATACGAGCCACTAACCCTCAGTAAATGAGCCACATTTGCTGATCACCCAAGGCAATGCCAAGAGTACTCGCTTCCTGCTAGGAATTTTGTGAAGTTTCTACATAAAATCACTCAGCGTAGTACCTGGAATACAGGAAGCACTAATGAACGTTAGCTGTCATTACTTTTATTATCCCTGTCTCTTCACTTGATTGAAATTCTCTTAACTGGACACAAAGCCTTGTTTTCTACAGTTAAGGATAAGAACTCACTGCCCATGCCCTGGGGTCACACAGTTCTGATGTTTTTTTAATTATTAATTTCCCATCTTTTTTTTTTTCATTTATTTATTTTATTTATTTATTTTTGACTGCGTTGGGTCTTCGTTGCAGTGCGCGGGCTTCTCATTGCAATGGCTTCTCTTGCTGCGGAGCGCAGGCTTCTAGGCACGCAGGCTCCAGTAGAGGCGCTCGCGCTTCAGTAGCTGTGGCTCGCGGGCTCTAGAGCGCGGGCTCAGTAATTGTGGCGTGTGGGCTTAGTTGCTCCGGGGCATGTGGGATCTTCCCGGACCAGCGCTCGAACCCGTGTCCCCTGCGTTGGCAGGCGGATTCTTAACCACTGCGCCACCAGGGAAGCCCGGTTCTGATATTTATACCAAAGTGTAATGACTAATACCAGAGATTTAGAGACAGTAAAGTCAGGTAAACATCTGGGGGTGATGGATGGAGGAAAACTGTTGGCCCCACTGGGGCTCCACAACCAGAATCTCACTGCATCCCGTAGCGCCCCCATGCCCATGAGGACAAGAGTGCATCCCAGACAGGGCGTCCCTGCCGAGCCCTGCGCCAGCATCCGGGCGAGACCTCTACTCCTGTCCAAGGGCTGCAAACCCCAGAGCAGCAGCCGCTGTGATCACCACCCTCCCACCAGCTGAGAGGAGGCTTCAGTGCAGGAGAGAGGGAACTGATGGGTGGACAGGGGCCTGGCCCCAGTGCGCTGTGGTGGCAGCTGTTCACGGAGCCACGAGGCTCCACCCCTGAGTCCCTGGTGGGCCTCTGCCCTAGTCAAGGGGCTGGGCCGCCAAGGCAGGGGCTCTGTCCAGGCCCGGCTTCTCCAGTCCCCAGGTGCGCGTGCAGCCACCTTCCCTTGACCCCCTGCCTCCTCACCCTTCTTCCCCACGATGCCAACACCAACCAGCACCCTCCCGGCCTGAGGGGCCTCCACCCTCCTCCCCCTGACCCCCTGCCGCACCCCCCCCTCCGGCCCGTCATCCTTCTACACTAACGAGGCTCCAACCATTCGTGCCCCAGTTTGGGCCTCCCCTGCTCTCCCTGCCCCGCAGATGAGCCAGGAGGCCGAAGGGCTGCTTCACGTCACCTGCCCAGTTTTCCTTCCACCTGCACATGTGTATCACTCATTAGTCTGTCTTGCACATCTCTTCTACGTACTGCATCGTCCGTATGGCCTTTCATCTATGCTCTAGACGATTGCTGAGAGCCGGCCCTTCTCTCTTTCCTCCCTGCATGGAGCAGGAGTTGTTGTAATGCGTTGGTTGTCCCAGGCATGCAGGCAAGACAGAGCTAAAGTCACTGCTATCAGAGCCACTGTCACTGCCTCGCTGTGTGATCTTGGGCAAATTATTTCACTTCTGTGCCTTTGTCTCTTCCCAGGACCGCTCTGTTCGGCCTCAATGCTCTATAACTGATCTACTATCCTGCCTTCGACACCCACCCTTCCCCCTGGCTTCCTCTCTCCTTCCCAACTGTTTGCAGAAAAACCTTGCTCACGTCCTTGACCCAGCTGTAAGGAAACTGTTGTCATTCTTAAAGGGGGAGGTTCTCTGGAATGGAGACAGAACTCCAGCTCGGGAAGGGGCAGCTAGGTCACAAAGCACTCCCCCACTCCTCAGTGTGGCTCCCCTGTCCTCTGCTGCCACTCACCTCCCCTCCTTTCCTTGTGAGCAGCACAGATGGGACAAGGGGACACTGTTCAAATAAGGGTTTGTTAAAGTCTTGGAGGAAACAAAGGGAGCTAGAACAGAGTATTACAGAAGTCGATCAGCCGAGGTCCAAGTGCAGCCTCACTCATAAACTCCTTACTGTAGTAGGAAGGAACGGTGCTGGCCACAGCAGAACCAACCACCTCGCCATTAGCAAGCCAGGCACATACACAGTATGTTTAAAGGATCCTTTACTAAAAGACTTTATTTCAGGCATGAGAGTCCACACAAAGCCCCCGGGGTGTGGGAGCTTTGGAACGGAGATCTCCAGCCTCTGAACTTGTCCCTTTGGACAATCTGCTGGCGGGGGACCACAGTCCTAGATTCTTGGGACTCAAGCTATGGCTGCCCTCCCAAGGTTGGAAAGGGCATCCCACCTGGGGCTTCTCCTTCCTGCCCATCCCTCGCCTTTTCAACAGCTTCTTGGTCCTTTTTAACCCTTTGCTGTCCTCCTAAATCCCCACCTTCTCTTGTGTTTGGTCCCCTGTAGGTCATACTTTGATCTGTGCCGTCTTGCTACTTGATGGGGTGGGTGAAGGAATATTTCAGATGCTAGGGATGAGGTGGAGAGGATCAGAGCCTGACTTGGTTCCTGCATCTGAAATACAACCATACTTAGCAAAAGTAACGTCCTGGAAGCTGATCTTCGGCAGTTATTGTACTAACGTTATCTACCTTCTACTTCTTTGCTGGCCAGCCTTCAAGACAGCCCCCAAGGATCCCTGCTTCCTGGAATTCCCATCCTTGTGTCGCCTCTTCCCACACTGTATCAGGGTTAGTCTGTGTGACCAATAGAACATGGCAGCGGGGGTGCTACGTTACCTCCAAGGCTAGATTATAAAAGACACTTGGGATTTTCAGTATGACATTGTGCCTGTAGTTAACACTGTACACTTAAAATTTTATTAGGAGGGTAGATCTCATGTCAAGGGCTCTTACCACAATAAAACATTTTTTTTAAATTTTAAGACATTTTGGCCTCCACTTTACTCTTTCTATCTTTAGATCACTCCGGGCAAAGCCAGCTACCATGTCATGGGGACACTCAAGTGTCTTAGGAAGAGGGCCATGCAGCAAGGAACTGAGGCCCCCAGCCCTCAGCCGTGTGAGGGGACCATCTTGGAAGCAGGACCACCAGCCCCGTCAAACCTTCAGGTAACTGCAGTCCTGGCCAAGACCTTGACCGTGAGGGACCCTGAGCCAAAACCACACATCTAAGCTGCTTCTGGATTCCTGACCCTCAGAAAGCATGTGAAATAATACATGTTTGTTGTTTTAAACTGCTAAGCATACAAGTGATCTATTATACAACAGATAACACATATTCTCAAATATGAGTTTCACCATAAATGACCCTCATCCTATCACCATAGCCTCAATGACTGGCAAAAGGGTTGGGGGCAAGTGACTTAGGGAGATAAAAACCTGTCCATCCACAAAAAGATATGGCTCTACACCCAGTGTCTTAGGCCCTTCCATCCTAGCTCTAAGCTCAGACACCTTCTGAGCACCCAGCACTGGGGGCCCAAATCTCAGCGTCAGCCCCTCTAGAAGTCTAAAGAGAATGGAGTTCAGAAACAGACAGGTGTCGCCTGTCCCTCCTCTTTGAGGCCCACCTGCTGGACTACTGTCTGAGAACCCACCTCTTCCCAAGATAATTGTTAAAAGGAACATCCAGCATCTTCAGGTGATACCCCACCCCTCTCACCAGTGTGTGACCTTACTCTGTGGCTTCAATAGGACAAGTGCAGCAGAGTCCAACTCAATAAGCCTCATGTCGTTAGAGAGAGTGTCCATCCAGAGGCAGGGAGGATATCTTAGCTAGAGTCAGATCCTTGCTGGTGGGAAGCTGATTGACAAATTCTGCAGAGGCAGAGCGGCAGAGGGCCCTGAAGACGAGCAGCAATGAGGGGAAGGTGGTGTCCCAACGTCCAAGGCAGGGGAGAGCCACACCTGGACGTGGCTTTACCTCGCAGAGTAAGGAATCTCTGGGGTCCTCTCCTACCCTCCAGGGCCAACACAGTAATACCAGAGCCAGAGGTTTCTTTGCTGAAAAGAGGGGTGTGAAATGGAGAAACATCGGTGGAAGAAAACTTGATGTAGATGCCAGAAGGTGTAGCCAAATCTGATGACTAGAAAGGGGAAGCCACCAAAGAAGTGTTTTAATGACTCTCTGTTCCGCTGTGCTCTCCCCAACAGAGACTATGGGCATCCCCCCACCCTGCCACACTGTAACTTCTGCTGTCACCCAAGAGAAGCAGACTGCTCACCAGGCCAGATCCACTACCACTGCCAGAAGCCCTATCACCAAATGAAGACCAGAGGGGGTAGTAGCCAGGCCC